GATTACTTTATATCTGTGTTAAATACTTATGAACAAATTCAGGTGAAGCAGTCACAGCTGAAAACCACTTACTTTCACTCTTGCAAAAATAGTCTTTCCAGCTTTTGAAAGACAAATATTTTCCTGGAAATATTCCAGTATTAAAATTTAAAGTACGAATCTGTTTTCACTTAAAATGTCTGTAAAACATCCTCTATCAAAAGAAAGAGAGTAGGCTATCCAGCTCAACTTCCCCAAGTTGTCCCAGGCACATATAGGTACCTATACAGATTTATACCATTCCAACTGTTTCACAGCCGATACAAGACTCCCTGACATTACATTCTCTTACCCACACTGTTTTTAAGATCTGTAAATGACACACCACTTCACAGTGTAGAAAATTATTCCAGAGTCAGTGCATTTTGTCTACTGAATGGTTTCCTGATGTTCAGATTATGTTTTCCTTTTCTCAAAATAATGTTATCGTTGCCATATCAAAAACATGTTCCTAAATAATTCACTCTCTCCTACTCCTGACCAGCATCAACTTTTGCAGCTGATCTTGTCTCCCTTAACCACTCCTTGTCCAAATCACACAAGAAGGCTTTTGAATATAGTATCTCCGAAGGCTTTGTGCCAATCAAGAATTATGATCTCAGCAGTTTTTCAGCCATGCAGTAAATTCATCATAGAACTAAGCACTGAATGATCATAACACCTGTAACAGTAAGTCTTTGTCATCACTGAGAAAACTTGCTTTATTCACTGATGTCTACTACACAATCTGCTTTAAAAAAAAAAAAGTAATCATGAATTTGCAATTTGTCCCACTGGAGTTTGAGAGGCAGGATTGTAATTTCAAAAAAATTACTACTTCAAAGGTCATGTATCCTGTTGAGGTTTTTTGCATTTTTCTTTAGTTCTTCCATAATTCAAGGAGAATTACAAAGACAAGCATCAAGCGTGCATTGAGTAAATTCATGGCTGAAGTTACCCAAAGTCTAAAGAGATATATATTGGCTCTTTCTAGCAATCACATTTCCAGAGTAACAATTTTAAATTGACAGTGATCTTCATATACATACTACTTGCACTCTTTTCTTTTTAAAGATTAGAGAGACTGTGTAACTGATGAGGGAACACTCAGCAGTCTCCTTAAAGCTCTGAGCAATAACAAGGAAAATAAAAAGGAAGATATAGTTTTCCTCTGCTCTTCATGCACTTTGCAGTGCACACATACATGTACACGATTTTGTATCTGTGTATTAATTAAATTAATTAATATTTGCAAAGTGGAGCAAATATAAATATCCCAATGATCTGAGGCAGTCAAAATTCACCTAAACTAGCCTGCTGCAAGTACTAATTCACCCAACATGACATTCAGATAATTGTATATCTAACTGCAATGGGTTGCAGGTAAGAATAACACCTGCTTTCAATATCCCACAATTACCTTATATACCACTTTGTCACCTTCTGGAAATGCAGGACAACAGAAATGTATGACTAATGGGGGATTTCATATTATTGCAAGAGAACAGAACCCTTGTACCACCCTTGGGATGACAATGGGAGTGGTCGTCATTTAAAAACTTTGAATGTAACAAGAAGGGTAAATATCCAAAAAACATTCTAGAGGCATTAAAAAAATGATAGCCAGATGTCACGTTAGAAAATAATTACTCAGAATTAACACATATAGCAAATAAACAAACATAGTGTCAGATATTCTGTGGGTATCGCCTTTCAGTTTGTTTTCTTTTTTTTTTTTTAATGTTTCCACAAGCTACAAAATCCACAAAGACCTAATCGGGCCAATCAAACAAAAGCAAACAGTTCAAGTCAAACTCCAGTTACACAAAGGACCTAAGCTCAATAATCTCCACAGACAAGATTTACCATGGATGAAAAGTGTCACTTTCCCTCCCCATGGTGTCAGATTTCCAACTCTGAAAAATTCAACTTTGGCCAGATAATTTTTGGTTGACACTAATTTAAAGCAACTCACTGGTATGAAAAACAAAAAAAAAAAAGAACCAAGAAAAAAGAAACCCAAAACTGAAAACAAACAAAACCACACACCCATACACATATATTTATATGGGGTTATATATATATATATAACTTCCACATTAATATGTTGGCATTTTATTTTCATGTCTCTACATAACTCACCTTCAGAAAACCTGTTCTTCAATACTCAACAGTATTTTGTATCACATAAACTCAAAAATAAGATTACATTAGATGCAAAAAGGACTTCCTGAAAAAGTATTCATGGAGAAGGTGACAGAGGGCATAAGTTAGAGGAAAAAAGTCTGAAAAAACCTTATCCATTCTTAAGCAGGAGAGAACTTCGATCTGAATCTGAATTTAAATTCATGAGAATGAAAAGTGCAAAATCAGTCATTGAAGAGAGAGATCACACTAGCCGATGGGGTGAGGGTATTATGTTTTTGCTTAAGAGGTTATTCTGATTATGACATATATGAAGGAGGACTTCTGCCTTCAAAAGACTATTGAGAAACTTGATTAAAACAATTCCACATGCCTTCAATATGTTTTAGAGAGATAAAATCTCGCTCTTCCTACTCACTCAGATGAAGCAATTGGGTTGCTTTACCATCCAAAAATCATCACCAAAGTGTTGGCCCATCTGTTACCAATACATGCAACCCTCCCTTCAGTCTTGTTGCAACAGAATTTCAAATCCAATCCTTGTCTCAAAAAGTAGTAGTTCAAGACCTTTATCTCTGCCTCTCCTTGTGCTCTGTAGCTCTGAGCATCCAGCAGCACCTCTCTCTGCCTTCGCAGGAACACTCAGAGGTTGCCTGACCTTTACAGGTTCATTCAACATTTCAAGCACTGTTCAAGCAGCTTTTTTGCTGCCCTACCCCCATCAGACCACAGGTGTGAGGAACACCAGCACCAGCCTGTGTCAGCTAATTACCCAGTAATTAGTTTGTCATAAATATGACAAGACACATAGTCCAAGACCTTTACAGGGAAATCTAGAGCCAATTTCAATCTGAACCAATTCTCAGAATATCAGGAAGTAACCTCATGTTACCAGCTGGGGTAACTTCATCCACAGTCAGCCTGAGAGATGTGTGAGCCCTAATAGAGTCTACAAAGATTTACAGTTAATTGTTTCCAGTATCATGCCACTACATTTAGCAGAGCTTGTGTGACAGGTCACAAACAGGTGTTTTCAAAAAAAAGAAATTGTTGCTGACCTACCTGGATCTTAAATAGAGCAATTACATCAATGCTGAATCACTCTGAAAAATCCAGCTGATATGTCACAAAGCCTCAGCTCCTTCCTTAAAAAACACCACCAGTAATACTGAATGTCTCTCCTCTGTTATTTTTGATGAATAGCTGGCAAGTCATTCAAACAAACATCTCTTCCCCTATCATTTTATGCTGCCTTTCACCATCACATCACAGGCAAGATGACGAGGAATTGCTGCAATGTGAACAATATGAGCAGGTTTTAATAGAATGTAAAAAGAAGCCTTTCCTTCCCCACACAAGAAAGCAAATGAGTCCATTTTGGAGGAAACTCACAAGATACCAAAGTAAGACCACTGAGCTCGGGTCTCCCAGGGAAAGCGTTAGTCTCATGTAGTGTTAAATTCTTGGAGCCAGGTCCTAACACAAACATCAGCATTTTTCTGACTTCCCTCAAGTCAAAATATTGAGATGCTAAGCTAGACCATTTGGATAGCCTAAGGTTTTTCACTGGCTTACTCAACAGGCCCAGATTTCTTAAAACAGACTCCCTTTCCTCAGCTCATTTTAAGCCATCCTAATTTTCTGGATCTGCTGCCAAAAACACACATCATCACCACACCTTGGGTGAGCAAAGCTGAAGGCTCAGCGCCAAGTGTTGCAACCACCAAAAACCAGTCAGTGCAATATACGAGGCACAAAGTGTACTGCCTCTGTTAGATCTTCCTGGAGCTCTGATAATAAATCTTGAAAATCTTTAAAATACTTAAAAGATTCTTTGCAAAAGGAATTAATCACATTTTTAAACCCTCATTTCATTACTGTTTAAAAATAAACTTACAAACATAACTGAGCTGTCAGAGTGACATCTTCCTTTTCTTCTTTGCTTACAGAAAACTATTGCAGTCTTGCTGGTGACACATACCATCAGATTACCCTACCCAAGAGCAAGAAAAGAAGGTGAAAAACTGGCTTTCTTCTTAAGAAAGCAGAGTTGGAAAAGAAAGATTTATCAGTAACTGAGAAAAAAGAAAAGTTGTTGGACTTGACCACTTTAGATTCATGAAAATGAGACGCAAAGGTTACTGCCAACAGTTTCCTCTTATGAAAGGAGACTTTGTTTGTTTAATTTGTATTGCAGCAAAGCTTGACAGACACCTGCTAGTGATATCTCCTGTTAATTGAACTAATGCACAGAAAAGGGCTGTCTTAGGGGTAACAATGTTACCTCTTGCTTAAGAAGCAGAGACCTGTAAGACCAGATGACTGAGCCCATTACCGTCTGACCACGACACAGGAGAAGGAAAGAAGATGTCATGGTCCTATGGTAATGTGGACATACTGCAATATACAGATGGATTTGCTTTTTTTATATACTCATGCCAGTGTATTGAATGAGATGACCACAAAGGGGAACAGAAAGGGCTGATGAAAATATATGCAAGCCAAGTGCTGTACTCCATGTTACCAAACAAATACCTCGGAATTTTCAAATACCAGTATTTGGACTAGTAAACGTCATATTATCATTCGAGTCATCTGCACTCTTGAAAGTAGTTTCCTTCCATTTTTCATCTTCCACGGTTGAAGTGGCAGTTTTTCTTTCATCCTTCCTCAGAGGTTTTTAAAAAAGCTCTTTGTTCCCTCAATATTTGATTTCTTGGTATCAGAAGCAAGAATAGCTTTTCCCCAGATCAACTCACTAGCTGAGCTGAGTCCATGGAATTTAATAAAAAAACCATACGCCAATGATTGTAGCTATAAAACTCTTCTTCTTCTTAATAAGATTATGCATGGGTACTTAGTATTTGAACAATAGCTATTACAATGTATGTATATTGTTACAGACAACAGCAAAGATCTAAGAATGATCAGTTAAATACATTTTCTTAAGCAACCATTTTTCTAAGACAAGTATGAAAATCTCATAAACTTTCCCCTGTCTGTGCTTTGGAAGGCAGTGGGAATAAAATTGTAGCAGCAGCTACACACTGACCACCACACTGTTGCAGAAGTCAAAGGAGTTCATATCAAATTTTGTTGCCATCATGAACATCTGCGAGCTTGCAGCAGATTAATATGCATTAGTCCAGTACCAAAACATTTGCATATCTCCTTCTGGTGAGATTCAACAAAATATACTTTAAGAGAATTTATGTGAATGAGGTGATGAATAGTTTTTAAATCGCTTCTTTCGTTCCACTGCAGTTTGCAAAGCCTGAAGAATTAACTGTTTATTATTCAGGATATTGTAGCAGCACAGGTTAAGCAGCTTATTGAAATTCTCTTCGCTATACGTAAGCAGACCAGTGCCATACGGAGCAGTACAGTTGGACACATCTACTCTTCCCTGCTCCATCTCTGTGGGACTGCGCTCCACATCTGAAATAGGAACACAGCAATGTTATTGATGTGGAAAACTGCTATTGAGCAATGCAAAATACACAGTTACAGACACACGAAACTGAATTACCTCCTGAAAATGGTTCAAGGTTTAATTACTGCATAGGTACTATGTCTGCTGCACTAACAAAATATACAAGCTTGCTGTTTGACTACAGTTATAGCTGATCCAGAAGTGACCGACTGAACAATTTTTCCATGTAAAATGCTTTCCTCTCTAAATTAAAGTTTTGCAACAGAATATTTCATTTTTTAAGATTTGGAATTTTGTATGTTTAACTTTCCAATTGAGTACTGAGATGATAGCTCTTATCTACCAACTGGTAGAAAATTATGCCAGGAAGCTCCTGGATTGGGAATCCTCCCTCTCAGGCGGCTGAGATTTTAAGCACATGCAGCAGAATACATAAAATGATGAACTGCATGAGGTCTTTTGCAATAAGCTGATACATGGATTTCTGTTCATTTTTTGAGGAAAGTTTCCTGGATCATACAAAATTAGCAAGAAAAAAATTGGAGTTGAGCCATGCAAAAGTATTCATAAACTGTAACTGAATTTGCCAAGTAGGGTTTTTTTCTGGTGAAACAAACAAATTTCTTGTATTGCTGAACTAAATAAAACAATACAGCAATTTTTAAAAAATTACAAGTATCAAAGCAGTTTGCTACCCTGGCAAAGCCTTTGCTCCATCATATGTTTTCAGCGCTTTCTGTTCTCAATTCTTTTTTTATGTAAAAAAAAATAATAGGAGAAATTCTACCTTTGTTAACCAAGTAAATATCATATCTCTTTACAAGACTGTCTGGTGACAGTGTTAGCTACCAGTGGATATAACTTAGTATCTGCCTCTTCTCCTTTAATATCAAAGGAACACAAACTGTTTCAGTTGCCAGATAAGGGGGTTTCCCTCAAGGTATAGGTATTCATGCTTTTAATTTTGAATCTCTTCAGTCCAATCCCCGATTAGTTGGCCAACACTAAATGCATCACAACAGGACTGGGAACACACTAATTTAGCCAACTCAGAAGCTTGCAAGTGTCCTGTTTTGGAAGAGGAACAAGTTCAATGAATAAACTGGATGTGACAACCTCAAAAAATTATTAATGCTGTTAACTTACTTGGTGCCTTGTATTTTTGGAAAGTATCACACACCAGTGGAAAAAAGGCCAAGACTGGTGCCTCCAAGCTATCCTCAAACACATAGCACTCCTTCAGATGTTCCCGGTCTTCCTGGCTCAGCTCTGTGCTGGGGAATGGGATACCATGCTCCAAACAGTACTCTGAGAATAGGTCCAGCGGCTGGTTCAACGGAGAGGAGAGTTGCAACACAAAGAGAGGTTGAAATAAGATTACCAAGCCCCATAACTGTTATTTTGCTGCACTAGGCAATCTGGGATTGGTTTATATGTTTATAACTAATACTAAGTAAGCACTGGAACAAGCATATCATCTTGATTTTAATAGATCCTTGGTAATAAAAATTTGGTTGATTTGCTAACACTTTAAATTTTCAAAGCAAGGTTATTGCTTTCTGAAATTTATGTGATATTCAGAGCATTTTTGTGATTTAGAGGATTTGGGTAGGGAAATTTTGATTACGCATGGCATCTCTGATGACAGGTTCTTAAATGTTTGCATTCAGTGCATCTAACAATCTATGTCTTCAAATCCTCTTACAAATAAATTGCATTCATTTCAATCAGATATGCCCCTCAAGTTTCTTCAAACAGCAAAATAAATGCCTGGGTGAAACTTATGCCAACACCAAGAGTCACACATAAAAGAAAAATTCCAAGTTTTCATTCAAAAATTTCAAAATTATGTATTAACTAATTACATTGTAAAAGTTATTTAACTAACTATGGTGGAACTTGGTACCAGAATGACAGTCTGCAGAGACGCATAGAATAGGACATCTGTGAACTTCTATTGTATCTGTGTTCATGTGTATGTCCCAGTATGATAATGAAAACAGTCCTGATAGAAACATTATGGTCACAGTGTTGAGTAGTATCACTAATATGATCATTTAACTTAATTAAAACCAGACAATTTTCGAGGGGGAAGAGAGAGAGAGGGGGGGGGAGCTGTGGTGGTTATTCAGCTGCTGGAGTCATACAGATAAAGAATCACTGCTTCAAAACATCACCAGAGTCTGTGATCCTCCACTGTAATTTAAATGCAGAATGACATCCACTTTTCTCTCTGGCCTCAGAATGGGTGGGCAGCTGGTGTTGATGAAGAAGGCTGTATCTATCAGTTTGAGGTAGTCACCCGTTTCATTTAGCTGGTTGGGAGAAGAATCCAGCACTGTATCTGAAAGTCAAAACTTGTATTATTAATTACTGCAGGACCAAGTCCATTTCTTTTCCAAATTAGCATCGCAAAGGAAGAAAGAAAAGACAGTCCACATGTATTAGTCTTTGACACAAAGCCCACAGTTAAATATTTGTCTTTGACATAATTTTAGCGCCTATAGCTCAACTCTGAGATCAGTAAGAGGGAGCAGTTTTGAGACTTGGCTTCATTCAAAATGATACGTTATGCCGCTTTTTCAACTGGTATAAATTTGTGGCTATTCCACTACTTCCATGGAAGCTGCAAGTCATTCTTTCATGGCTTTTCTTAGGAAGAATTCAAGCAAGCCTACTGTGGTTTCTCCAAGACAGAAACAAGATCAGCAGTAAATCATCTCAGGTTCAACAAAACTAGTTCCACAAATATATTAATCAAATAATACTAATCAAAATTCGCCTTTATGATAAAACTTATCAAGTATTTGTCCTCAGCAAGTACCAGCACTCAAAACATCTTCAAAGATACATCTAAACCAATTTACTATTACCTTTCCACATGCAAAAGCTCTCATTCTCTAAATACTTTTTATGTAGCTGCAAGCCCTTGAGAAAATTATGGTAAGTTGAAACCACTGGCCGTCCAGTCATCATTTCTCGAAGAGTATTAGAAGGGTAACCTTTGGGAATGGATAAACAAGTTGTCTGTTCATGAGGCTTCTTGGGCAGAGCAGGGTGCTCCTCTGGAGGAAAAAGAAGAAGAAGAGGGTGTAAGTCTGCATTTGCTTAGAATGTTTCTCTGATACTAATAACAACAAAGAAAGGGGTGCTGGGCAGCCAAACCACTGTGGCCACTAGCCCCATCTGTGATTGAGTGCATGCGCCATCATGCACAGTGTTCTGGGCAGAGGTGCATTTCAGTGTCACGCCATCACCTTGTTGTTCCCTGTCTGGCCTCTCCCTCCCTAAAAGGCTTCTGGTAACCCTCTTGTGACTAACAACACTCCCCAGGGATGTTGCACAGTGAGCAGCACAATGTTTTTTCCTGTTTCCAGCACAACTGTTTCTCTCCTGCTTTTCCTTCATTCCCAAGGGCTTGTTGTCTCCTAACCCAGAAACAGGACACAAAGACAAGCTCTTTACCAAATGTGAGGTTTCACATTTCAGAGAAGTGTGAAGATCATGCAGATACAAGAGAAAAATAATCTAAACAACTAACCAATGTCATGCTCAGTGTCTCGGATCCATCTGTGCCAGAAATCCTCCGAATGACCCGAGAGATAGACAGCATCCATAAAATTCTGGGAAAATATATTACTCCATGTGCCTTGAAAATTAAAAAAAAAAAGTGTCATACTTAATACTCGCTTGAATTTTTAGAGCACAGCTATGGCAATCTATTTGGATTCAGTTTCTGGTTTAGTTATTAAGTACTATGAATTCTCACATCAATATCAAATGCCATGCCATTTCCCATAATATCTGGCTTACGACCAGGCCATTTTAGAAACTTGGCTGTGTATAACAGTCAGGTTGTGATTTTAAATATTTCAGATGATTGGTTCTCGTGTGTGTGTCTATGTGCACATGTGAGTGTATACATATGTTCTATTTTGGTCTAACCTAAGATGTTTAGCAAATTAATCACATTTGCCTCAAGAATTTGTTTCTTTTTTTGTCACTTTTGGCTCATTCATTTGAGATTGAAATTACATTAGATACATTATCAGGTGTACAAATGCTGCTACTTGCAGATCACCTCTTGTGTAGCCAACTATAAAGGTGATGTTTTTTGGAGATAGCAAATTACCTTCCAAGAAGCAGATGTGGGACTCTGGGATCTTCTTCATCCGATGACCCATGAAGAACTCACTACCAAAATCTTCTGAACGAACAAAGGCCCCATATTTCAGGAGTCCGACCTCGAAAGGTGTGAACTCCACCCACTCTGCAAATAAGGTATCAAAACAGATTTATTACAGCCACCTGAACACGTGTAAAAAGCAGCTTAAAGAATCAAAATCTGGAAGGTCAAGGCCTATAGCTTCACCATGGTGGTGACAGACAGTTCAAACCACCATGTTTTGAAACAAACAGATGACCTTTTACATGCTCATGTTAGATACATGAATGCAAAAGCCAAATTCACCTTCTCCACTAACACTGTGAAAATCCATTCAGGTTGGGGTTCGGATCCATTTCTGCACTAGGAAGCAAAAATTTGGGCTGACTGCTAAGGCCCTGCACAAGATGTGACATTTTTAGTTCCTCTGAGTCAGCAATGACACCAGCTACCATTCATTCTTAAGACTACCAAAATCACAGCCTGTGAGGCTAAAAAACTTTGACCAAACCCCCTCCCCTCAAAAAAACCTTGGCTGAACAGACTAGGACTGCATATGTGCCTAAAAGCAGATGATCAGGTTCAGTTGCAGGGCTTCCTGCTCCACTTGGGCCAGAAAACACTGTGGGAATACTGATCAGGATCACTGATCGGGGCACCGAGTGCTATCCCTCCTCAGATCCTCTCTGGCTGCTGGGAGCTGCCTCCTGCTCTCACGCCTCTCCACATCTTCCCTTCTTCTCCCTTCTTTACCCTCTTCCTCCCTCTTCACAGCTCTCTTGGACTAAAAGGGGTTGTGAGGAGTAGGTGGGGACAAGAGAGAAAAAGAGCAGCAGTGGTGGCTCTCAAGGTTGCCAGCAAAAGGCATGTCCATCTCTCACAGAGCAGTGTCTACAGCACGGGTATCTTCCTTCCACAGTATTAGGATGCATATTTTTCATGCAAGTAAGAAACCAGGTATGAAGACAGGAGGAAAAGAAATTATTTAAAAGGTGTTTTGGTTTGGACTTATAGTAAAAGCTTTTGGCATCTAACCAGACTTAAAAGGAAACTCTTTAGAGGTATAGAAGGCTGTATGATAATCTTTACCTTTAAAATCCAAAGTGCTAAAGTTATCCTTGACATTGAGGGACAGGTATACAGGCAGTGGATTCTGCCCCTGATTTACTGCTAGTTGCTGATCTGAGAGTTTTTGAGTACTTTCCTGTTTAAAAAGAACAGAAGTCATTGTAAAAGATGAATATGATGCATAGATCTAATACAGTATCCAAGTATGGTCTGTCAATGAAATATCTGCTAAACTTCAACAACTTCAGTTGTTTGGCCACACAAATGTCTTCAGGTGTTATCTGCCACAACCCTTCGCCAAAGCACTATCACTGATGCTCATGGGAATTTTGTCATGTGCAGGGACAGGGTAAAAATGTGAGAAACTTGTCTGTACAGTCACTAAGATATGACTTGCTTTAAGGAAAAAAAAATATTTAGCTGTCTTGGAGGTGCTGCAGAGAAAAGTCAACCAGGACCCATTTCCTTCAATACGGTTTTGTTTGCTCATATAGGTTTATATTGCTGTGCCTGAACTTCATTCTGTCAGAGCCATCTTTGCTCTATGTGTTACTAGAATGATCACTTGACTTGAAAATAAAGATGAAAAATCAGTTTCCTTAACATTTTGAATTTTTTATATGCTCAGACATCTACCCTAGATGCTTACATTTTAGTGTTACTGTGCTGTTATTCTTCTAAAAAGCCAAAGAACGAGCCCCTCAGAAGTCTTGAGAACCTCTCCTGTAACTGAATCCAGAACCTTAGATATGGAAAGTTAGAAAGCCTCTGGAATACACGATATATATATAATATAAAATACCTGATGATGTAGCATACGATTAATGAAGAGCCCCCATAAATCTGTAAAGGACAGCTTATGCCCCTCTTGCTTTCTCTCACAAAGCTCATTTTCATAGTATTTCATATCATCCAATGAGAAACAGTGCAGCTTGCTCTTGATCACATGTTTCCTGATATCACTAATTGGCCCTCTGAGATCCTTCTGTGACCAATTTGCATCTTCATATAACTTTGACATGGTCCTGGATAGAAGAAAGATACTGTGGGTCATGACAGGGTACATGACAATTCAATGGGCTTATTACACACAGAGTTGGGTTTTTTTCAGGCTAGACAGGGCTCTTGCTCTCCAACTTTTACCTTAGAAGAGCAGTTCAAAGCTCAGGCAGAATTTAGACCATACGATGATTTCTTTTTGCTGCACAGATACGTTCAAAATCATCCTAGCTTGTTTCTTATCAGAATCATAAGGGTAATAAAGCAACACTAATAACTTAACACAAGCTTTTACTAGATTTAGCCTTTCATTATCCAGGTTCAACCCACAGCTTCTGTCTGAGGCCAGCTCCCTCAGCTGCATCAGACGCTGTGTGAAACATTAAGCTGGAGTTCGGCGGTGAATATTGCCCTGGCCAAGTGTGAGAGCCCCTTCCTTGGGCATGCAGCAGGTGGGTCACCTCAGACTCTTGGCATACTTAGGGCCAGACTTGAGCTGTCAGTTCCCAGAGCTCAGGCAGATTCCAGTCATCCCCTCTCATCTCCACACCACTTGTTCTAGTTCTGTCTCATGTATCTTTTTAGAACAGCCCTCCAGAGGCAAAATGTTTCTAAATCCCTCAACCCCCCTAGTTGTGCAAGGCAGTCAGCACTGAGCGTTCTGGTGATTCACCGCATTCCATATTTCTCAGGGCTTTTCTTTTAAAGTCTACTTTTCAGAGATGTGTAGGAGTTGACAAATACTACAGGAGGACTTCTGAAGTGTAACGTGCAACTCATCATGGCTAGGCTTCACGAACGAAGATTTGGTGCAACTAGATAACACAGTTACAGGTAAACCACCCTGGCTTGTGCTTTTTTCTTTTAGTTTCTGTAAACACTTCAGTGCAATTATAGAAATACTGTAGTTTTCATTCAATTTGTTTCTTGTAACTAGAAGAAATAAGGGCTACAGCACTACTAAGTAGTCCCATGAAATGAGTGCCAAAAGGAAGCCAAGCATCGTGCTGGGTTAATTCATCAGCAAGGCAAATGTTCCACCAGGTTATCACTTTGCTAACACAAAAGGCAAGCACAAGCCCAACTTTCCTTACCATGTTGTGGCAGATAAACCACTGATGTATGAGATACAATCCAAAACACCTAACTCCTGGAGAGCCAGAAGACTGCCAAACATAGCTGTCATGGATCGCACACCCCCTGCTGAGGTCACAACTGCCACCACTGGCACCTGCTCAACACACAAAGAGGTGATCATCACCAGATGAAATAGAGAAGTAATGGCCGTGCAGAAAAAGTAACAGCAACACCTGATTCAGGTAGGTTTTAATTTAATTCACCCTCTTCATGGCAGTGCCTAGGTGTGTATTTGAGTTATGTAAACTTTGGTGGGACTTAGTGTATGCTGAAAGCATTTTCCTGATCAGTGATGCTTTGGTGAGTCAGAAGCTCTAAGTATGGTTCTTGTATGGCATAATCTATTTTCAGATTTTCTCAATATTTTTAATTTTTCCTCATCTTTTTGCCTCAAAACACATTTTAAAATGTGAGGTTTTAAAAACTGAGGTCAGAGGAGCAGAGCAAAAGCAGCCTGCATATTTTTTTCTTCCCCTGCAACATTGCTATTCTCCAGGCAGATGGTGCAAAGCTTTATAGATCTAACACCATCTTTCTAACCCAAATTACCTCCACCTTCCCCGATACTAATGCCATGGGTATTGTACTTTCCTCAAGGATGCAGCAATTCTGTTAGACATCCTCCCTTTTCCCCATAGGTAGCACTTATCAAAAACCGAGACAACAAATATTCAGTTTTAGGATCATATAATGCCACTACCTTTAGTCTTGTGTTCATTGTATTTTACCATGTGTCTTGGGGTTCTGGTTTGTTTTTTTTTTTTTTTTTTTAATTAATATGACTCGATAGCTCTTTATTCTGATTTAATAATAACAAGTTCTATTCTACTTGTTATTTAAGTTCATGAGCATTTTGACTTGATTGACAAATGCTGTCCTGCATATAGAATCAAGGCTTGGATGTGCTGGGACTCAAACAGAGCAGTGGAAGAAATACCACACAGGCACATTCTCTCGGACTCCTGCTCAAGCACCACAGCCCCATAGCAGATTACTGTCCTCCAGTAACACAGCAGCTACCTCTGAGTTCAGGGATCCCCAGGAGAGGAGGAAGCAAGAGATAACAGTGAAAAACACATAAGACAGATGCTACCATACCAATGTGCTACGGGAGAGTTGCAGCCTTCCTCTATAAGCCTTATATAGCAGCAGAGAAAAGTACCAAACAGGAGAAATGGTCTCAGTCTAAGCAATCAAATTTCCCCAACCTTGGTTATACTTGTATGTATATACTTGGTATGTATATACCTTTATGTCAAGAAATATGGTCTTTGGGTGCCCCTGAGTGAGGATGGAGGTTGGCAGAGAATAAAGGAGCTATAACCAGCCTCCTGAGAGTTCCTCTTTCATACTCTGTGTCAAAAATTCTTGGATATGGTCTTATGTGCAAATGACAATCTGGCCTACATAATGTAGTCTAGAATATGTGGAAGAGCTATATAGGTACTCATTCAAGTACATCATATCCACTTCTTTCAAAGTGGATCATAATGCTTCAAGTTCCCAAGATGTTGTCCCTCATACCTCATCTTCCTGCAGGTCTTCATCTAGATGAAGAACATTTTTCAGAGCAGCAGCAACCACTTTCTTCCTTTTACAGATGAAATCCCGCTCTTCTGCACATAGATCAAACCCCAACCGCACATCTAAATTTTTGCAACTAGAGCATAAGAGCAGTACAAGACATTACCTGCAGGCCTTTTCTAAAGCAATAACAATAAACCAGTTTAAAGAAAGGATCCTTCCCTGTACATGAAGGTTCTCCTGCTCAAATGAAGGAAGGTATATGGATGTCAGACACTCTATTTCTGCCTTCCTGTGGAGATTTTAGGCCAAAATTATGTCCTGAACTATTTCACACAATCATAAGGAAATTAAATAAATAAAATTATCTGCTTATTAAAGCCAAAGAAATTAACTGAATTCAAGCTGTTTCACATTGAGCTCTGATATCTGGACACCTCTTCACATTCTCTTGCTATGTATATGTTTCCTGAAGCACACAGAGAGTGTAAGCAGTTATTTAAACTTAACACACTTTAGGCAAAAGGACCCTAATATCAAGTTAGGCTTATCTCTACAAAAAACTTGTGCTGCAACTACTTCAGTCAGAAGATGTCTTTTAAGTGTGTGTCTTAATATCACACTTAATTAAGTGTGTACATTATTATAAATATCATGTGCATCTTCATTAATTCCATAACTTATATTTTCACAGGGCTACTGTTTCAGGGGTTTCTTTCAACCAAAAGATTATTTTGCCTCTTCTCTGAATTCAGTAGAAATCTCTTGTTTATCATCCACCTGCCACTAAGGCTTGCAATGTAGCTAAGTCATCAGTAGGGGGTAATGTTGCCCTTCAGAAAATGTCTGCAAGTCAGTCAATAAATTTAGTGTCTATGTGTTTCATTGAAACGTGTCAGAAATGTGTTACACATAAAGGTGTATCTATTATAGGTAAAGGTTATAAGACAGGGATTCTTAAGTATCAAAATTACAAAGCACCAACATTAGGAAAAACATTGTGACTGGTTATACCCCATGAGTAGCTACCACCTGTTCTATTCTAAGCGCTTATCAACCAATTCAAAAGCTTGCATCATCTTATGAACCCTTCCCCCATCTTTAACCAATTACTATCTTTATTCTTAGTTTTGAAATGAGCTACTTGAAGACCAGGAATCTCACAGAATATTCTAACTTGGAAGGGACCCAGAAGGATCATTGAGTCCAACTCTTAACTGAACAGCCCACTAAGGGATTGAACCCACCTGTAGCTTCCTTTCATCTAAAAATGATATTATGAAAGGATAGGAGATGGCCTAAGTAATCATTCAAAAGAAATAAAAGATTTACCCATTTTCCTCGTTCACAGACACTTCATAAGATTCCCCCTGAAAATCAGGAATGAAAACACTATAAATATTTCATAGAACTGAAATTTTTCAAAAGCAAGTTTTACAGTATTAGTAATTATTCAAATATATAGTTTAATGATATATCTTTGATGTCTTCTTAGGTCTTCAGCACACAATCATCACTAGGATCCTGCTTTTAAAATACTTTTAAACCAATCAGTAATTCTGACTATCCTATTTTTTCTTCAAATAACAGTTGTATTTCCAAGTGTATGCAGAGCTGAACATACATATAATTCAGTTAGTATATTTTTAATAAAAAAATTAATACCCGACCAGATATTACACATATAGTTTACACTTGTTGAAAGAATTCCAAATGCTGTCAAAGGATACTCACTCTCATGACTGCCACTTTCTTTCCCAAGTCCAGGGAATGGAGAGGCACAGCCAGGGGACTACTTACACCCATTCCCCTTCTAGCTGAGCCATGCTGAAATAAATAGGGGGGGAAATGTTATAAGGAGAAAATTATTTATAAACCATAGGTACAAAAATACCAGAGAAGGGTTAACTCATGATGCTTCTCCCAAAAGTTACTTTAAGTGTTATCACCATCCACAAGCAAAACATACACAACAGAAAACATGCTCTTTTGGCAGTGTCATGAGCAGTCTGGGTTGACTGTGCTTGATATAGTGGAACCTAGTGGTTTCACTGCTTCCCCGTCTGGAGTGAGGACCTATGGAAACATCCTGGGTTTCTTCATAGGATCCTTTCATTGTGAACGTGAAATCTCTGCCTAAGAACAAGAAGCAAACCACAGAGAGATGTTAACTAGCCCTGAAAAATAAGAAATAAAAATGTCCCAAGTAAAGTTTCAGTCTTGGACTGCAATGTTTTTCCTCCCCCCTAAGCAGTGTGCACAAGGGCCAGACTGATAAAGCAGAAGGCTGGTGCAGCATTGCACCACACAGTGCATAGGCAGCTTCTCCCCTGTGCATCCCCTGCTCTTCCTCCCTCTTCCTGGAGCCTTGCTACTATCTCAGGAATTCTCAGCCTTGATGCTCTTGGGCAGTTAAGCTCCCCTTGAGCTAATCAGAAACACTGTTCCCACAAACTTCTGTCACCTAACAAACTGCTGTTGTCTAATAAGCAGCCTTGGAACCTTAACTTTGTCTGAATCAGAGCCCAGGTGGAAGAATATTATTGTTACTGGACTTTTCAAGGAAAACTCTGCTAACTACTGACACAGATGGTGGCCAGGATGGAAATTGAATGATGGCTAAAGCCAATCATCTTGAGACCTTATAAACAACAGTCCTAAGTGAGGCCTTTTGAACTCACCCGGACTGCAGCAGGCTGCACCAGCATCCCCATCTAAGCAGGATGCCTTCTCCAGCTCTCAAGTTAGTGATACTTAGAGGACTGATCCCAAAAGCTGGCAATAGGGTCTAGGCCGATCTGTCCTCTAGGCTCAATCTTCCACCCACTGAGAGATGCAAAGGCATCTGACCGTAAGTATTTCACTGACCTCCGGGAGAATTTTTAACAGGTACCTTTGTCCATACTTATTTGTGTGCATGCATGTGTGAATTGATTTAAATACCCCACAGCAGGTGCAGTATGAATGTTAACATCTTACACTCATAATTAAATTACTTACTTTAGTGCTTACAGCAAATGCTATTGAATCATTTTGTAAATGTTAAATTAGATAATGATTAAGTGCCACTAAATCCTTTAGGGATAAGCTGTGATCAAGTCTGAGACTAAGTTTGGCAAGGAGGTCCACTCTGAACCTCACGACTCAAGGGAAGGGTCTCCCTCACTCCTTGGCACCCTTACCCTTTTCCATCTTTAGCCTTTTGCATCCCCAGTCTCCACATAAATAATTTTAGACTGATTCTAATCTGATTTTCCTTTGTGTGTTTCATGTATGTAGTAAGTAATAGAGTGAACCTTGCAATCAAATTTTCTTGCACTTTTGCAAATTTATATTAAACCTGCTTTAGCTGATACCTTTGCCACTGATTCTTTAAGCAATCTAAACCATTCATTTTTGACACCCTGCCAAGTGACAGAGAGCATGTGTTAAACCAGTGGACGCCACTAGCAGCATTCACACTGCCTGAGTTTCCACTGTAGTCTTTGCCCTCCTGAGAATTGTGTCTCCCTTATTTTGCTTTCTGTTCTCACCACAATATCTCAGTTCCATCACACTGCAGTGATGTCTCCAAGTCTCCCAGCCTTGGGAGAACCTTCACAGTTTCCCTTAAGCTACACAGTTATGTTGTCTTCAGAGGATTCTCACTATTAGCAACTAGGTAATTCAGGAAACACCTCAATCCCCAAGCAGCTCTGATGCAAAAGAGACTAAAACAGATCAAGTATTTATCTAGATTCAGCTGCATTTCCCATAGCATAAAAAGCAGTGACAAACAATTTAAATCAGTAACCTCACCTGTGTAAGAGTTCTTCATTTTTGTTTCATTCACATGTACTTCCAAACAGGAAACTTCGCGAGACTGGAAAAGATAAGCAATAAAATCACTGGTCACAGAAACAGTTCAGGATTCTCACTGAGGACCTAGGGATCCTACAGAAACACTGCACTCAGCCATGATAGTCTATGGACATAAAGAAATTGTAGAAGCGGATTATCTTGTATAAATACTGCAAGCAATACTGTTGTCAAGGGAGCCAATATAATAAGAGATCTGTCCCACTACATTTAAATACCATTCAATTCCCAAGTTAACACAAGAAATTTTTCTCCCTAGCTAGGCCATGCTTTAAATTTTATCTACAGAAGAGTGAGCTGAAGGATACCTACAGCTCTGCAGAACAACTGGACTGATGGGCCTGTACTTTAATACCCTTTTGGATGAAGGTGAAACTTCCCAAGATGCTGCTGCATAAGGGGAAGTAGCAGCAAAGGAGCATCACACACTTGGACATGGTATGAATAGAACCTTTGACTCCAGGGTAGACATTCAATAGTCAACCTTGCAGTCACATTGGTTCACTCCCTTACCAAGTTTCCTTGTTACTGCCATGTCAACACTGAGCACCTCACTGGCGTTGTGGCAGAGTGCTGGTCCAAGTCTCTCCCAACACAGAACGCACTACAGCCCCAAACAAATTCAAAACTTCACAACCACACCTGTGTCTCATCTGAAACAGAATAAAGGCTATGCCTAAAGGCATAGCTATTCCAACCACATCCTTCAGTTCTGCCCTATCATAAGAACATTAGAATAAAAATAATTACCACTAGTACGCCATTAGTAATGATCTTCTCAGATACCCCTGGGCTGAAAAGCAAAACCGAAAAGGTTTATTTAAAAGTGGGTATATAAAAAATAAGCTTTTAAAAGCAAATAGTTCTCTGAGCTCAGTTTTTCTAGTTGTCAAGTACCATCAGCTCTTCTATCTTTCCCCTCTTTCTCGTGGTCACTGTCAGGTCACAGTCCCATACCTCCCAAGGACACTCATTCTTTCTTACCTCTCCTGATCAGTATCATCTCTCCTTAGGCTGAATTACAAAATAAACACTCTCTCTCAGCTATAAATAATAAATGAGACTATCACTCAAGGAAGGATTTCACCAAATTCAGGAGAGAAAAGCAACCATGGGAAGATGTTGAGATACGATGTCTGAGCACCAGTACATGGGGCCATTTTCCCAGTGCTGCATTACCACTCTCTAAAAATGTAGTTTTCTGATGACAAATTCTGTAACATTTAGGCTTTACTCACATGTTTTCCAGTAGAAATTCCACTTCTAGTTCTTCCTGGTTCTGAAAATGAGATTTATTTTTAATTTAAAGAAAATGAATGAAAAAATATTTTCCTTTGATAGGGCTCTGATGAATTTTTTATAACCCTCTCTTGCAAAGGTTTTTTATTCCCACTCTCTCTACATCACAATGTAAATGGATGGAGTCTTCTGTGGCCACCCTTTCATTTCAAGTCTCCCCACCGCTCTACTGTTTACCAACCAGCTCTCCCCACAAAAGGAAGAGAATTAAGTATCACGGAATAGGGAGTGAAGGTCCCATTATGCATTTATTAGTAGGATAAGACATGAGTCAATCAATGCCAAGAAAGGGAGGTATAACAGGTGAATAATGTAGAACGTACTTAAGAATGAATGGACCTAGTATGGTGAATAAATGAGCAGTGTGTCTGGGTTAAAACAAAATAATTTGCAGAGTATAGTGATTAAATATTAAAAAAAGGTGGGAGAAGGGACCAAGTTGGAAACTAAAAACCACCAGGGTGAAGGGAAGAAAAGAGATGACTGGAGCTGTGAAGGGGAGTCAGGGAAAGAGCTCATGAGAGACAAATCAAGAGTAAAGAGAAGGAAGAATATAAGAACAAGAATAGCAACAGAGAAAGTAACACATCAACAACACAAGAAGGACTGAATAACTGTATTACTTCACTGCAGCCATTTGCTGCTTGCTGTATGGGATACTGCCAATTCAGGAAATATCACACAAAAAACATGTATCAGAGAGATCTTCTATATCACCCACAGGGAGGAAAACACTAATTATTGGAAGATATAAATCTTTTTATGACAAGTGATGGCAACATTTTTTCATTCATATTCAGAACAACTAACATTTACTGCAAAATATTGCTTTTGTCTGGCTGCACACATACTTTAACTTTGTGAAATTACTGTGAAAATGAAGGCAAGTGTGATAATGCAGCTGCCATGGTAAAATCATGACTACAGTAAAGGTGAAGAGTAAATTTGTATTTACTAGTTCACATCAGTGAAGGAGACATCTCTGATGGCTCCTCTGAGGGCTGGATCTGTGGTATGTAACCCAGCAGCAGATGATTCTGCTTGCTAATTTCTCCCAAAGTTTCTGTTTCATGAGAATTAGATTGTTTGCAACAATCTGTAATAGAAGGCTGGGACACAGATTTTAGAAAGCAGTCACCTTGCACGGATGCAAGAGAGACTGTATAAAGTATCAGATTGTGACCAGTCTGTACTATCCAAACTCAACAACAGTCTTTTTCAACCTTGTCCAAAGAACAGCAGAAACAAGGTTCAGAAGACCATGGCTCAGAATATTTGCCTAATAGTGCTTTCCTTATGTTCCCACTCTTATTATGATGTTTTACACACACTCATACAAATTATATTTCTATTAAGTCCCAGTCACGTTTTTGTGGGTGAAAAACCCAGAGCATAAAAATGCAAAGACTTGTTAGGTCACAGTGAGCAAGAGGCACAGCAAAGCAATCCTGCTGTTCTGACATTACCCATCTGACCTCCTCAGCCCTTCTTCTAGGATACGATGATAGATGAAAGAAATCATTATGGGCAGAGGTGTCAGTACAACCTATTATTAAGGTTGCCCAGCCTGTTCCATTACTAAGTCACTTTAAAAAAAAATAATCCTAAGTCTTCCAAAACTCCACGTACAGACCATAATCTGTGATGCCTCATAGGCATCGATTCATCATGATTCAAAGAAGGACAGCTTGACCAAGACATTCCTGAGACACAGCACACTTTGTCTGACCTCCCCTACTTCCACCTTGCTAAACCAGTGGGTTAAGACCCAGCACATGCCTCAGAGCAAACTCACGGCTTGAATCACACCTCAAACAATATCAGTAACATGAGGCTTTTTCTAAGGAAGGCTGTAGCCAGCTGGAACAGGTTTATTAAGCAATCCTTAGTAAGGACTGGCCTTCTAGAAGAGTAGTTAATAAACACTCTTCAAAGCCATAGTAATACAAAAAATAGGCAAGAGGATTTTCCAAAGAACCTGACACAGTGGTTTAGAAATAAATGGAGCACACCAGTTCCTAGGAACTGTAAACTGAAGCCCTTGTCAGAGGCATGAAAAAGCCCTGAAGTTCCACTACTACACACCCTCCAAATAGAGAAGATGCTACGTTTTCAGAAAGTAATCTGAGTATGTATTCTGCTCTCTTAAAAGATGAGTTTGATTTCTCCACCTGTCCTCTTAGCAACTTCACCCACATAAAATTTAATAAGATACTCTTTATCTCCAGTTTAATACAATCAAACACAATATTCTTTGAGATAAAAGCAGCAAGTAAAACTCTTAGGTCAGACACTGACCTAGAAGAAAAAATAAAATACAGATGAGATTCTCATTCATCAAGGTCTGTCCATTCTGTGCTGGCTCAGCCATTCTAAAAGAAATTTTTAACCCTACAGCAAAAGAGCATAAACAGAGTTGCTGAGACTTTTTTCTTAAAGTCGTTTATCAGAAGGAGAAAAAAAACCTAAGATACTATCATTAGGAAATGCTTCATTACCGAGCACATTATCTGAAAGAGCAGGACAAAATTCCTAATGAAGCTGAGAGAAAATACCCCCTAGCTGCCCTGAAAGGGGTCAGGTTTGTTCCCACCCCTGTCAGTCTCCTACAACAGCAATGAGATCCCTAATCATCAGCTTCTTCATTTTTTGCTCTCTCTGTTTTTAACTTTGTATTTAAATCTGTTTAACAAAGTCTTTCTGTGTGAGAACAACTTTAATGGGACAAAATTCTGAGCAAGAGTATTATTTTATCTGTCCACTCACCTCTGCATTCAACTCAAAATTCAAGTGAATTTTTTCTCCAGGTTGGATTTTAGCTACATCAAAGCGAACAGTCATAAGCTGATCATCTGGTGTAAAAATATCCTCATCACAGACTGTCATCTCCAGGATGTTCTGAGGAGAGAGGCAGAGAAGGAGGTAAAATATATATTCTGGGGCTGCTGAGCCCAAAAGGAAGCTCTAGTAAGAGCCAACCTGCAGACCTCATGTTGTTCAACATGGACAGACTCCTGAGACTGTGGAGCTCAGCTCACAGCCCCTGCGGCTCAGACTGCAGAGTCAGGGGCTACCTTAGAAGAGGTAAGTCATCAGATCTGGCAATGAACAAGAGGTCAAAGGACAGGCAGCATTAAGTGACAGGCATGATGGTAACATGCACTGGACAGAACATGCTGTTTGTCAGATCCTTTGTGGATTCACAGTTACCACCTTGAGAAATTTTGACATTTCAGCAAAAAGTAATAAAAAAGGGAAAAAACTTAGCCCTTTGCAAATAGAAGTTAAAGCACATGAACAAATTCTTTTAACTGGATTTCAATTGTAGGGATTTCCCTTGCAGTCCCTCAAGGCTCAGAATACCCATAACAGCATGAGAAGATGCAGCACTACTATACCATAAGATGCTGACCCTCTCTCTAGGCCTTGTATCACTTGCACTCTGACTGCTCATCTGTTTCTGTTAACTCTACAAACATTTTAGCAGTTTTTTACAACTGCTCTGGGACAGAAAGAAGCATTCAGCTTTATTTCAAATGTTCCATAACCTTCTGAACTTGCACTCATTTTTCCTGTTACCATCCTATTCTTCAGTGTAACTGAGTTCAAGCTGTGTGAGCCTCAAGACTCTCATAAAGAGCCTGCACGCAGCAGGTGAAGATGCCCCCTTTAGAAAGCATCTGCTCCTTATCATAGCCACAGATCCCACCTTTACTTGACTTTGTATCACGAAGTGGAAAGTTTCATTCCAGACAGGATTCCTGCAGTTGCGTACAGTTCTTGTCCGGGCTTCCTGACATGAAGCTGTCGGCAGCCACAGCTTGACATAGCAATCAGTTTGGCTCCCTGTGTTAACAAAAAGTTGCTTGATTAGTACAGCAGTTTGTTATTATTTCTTTTGCCCAATCAGGGATAGAAAATATTAACTTCTGAGAAGTCCTAAGTATTTCATTAGATACAAAGGAAAATATTCTGGGGTTAGAGCTATTTAACTTTCCTATTTACATTTATGTCAGTTCCAAACAAAAGCCAATTTAAAGCACTAATTCTATTTGATAACAAAAGCCAAAATATTTCATTTCAAAGGTACTGAACTAAGTCTTCCGTCTCTTGTGATTTTTACTCCTATTTTCAACTATTTGCAAGGCTCCAAAAAAAAATTATGTACAACCTCGCTTCCTGAAATGTCTCTTTTTAAAATAAAATGAAGAATTTCATTTTGGGGATTTTTTGGACCTGGTTCTAATTGTAATGCAGAAGTCATCCACAACGATATAGCAATGAAGAGACAAACACAGCAGCATCCAACACAACTACTGATTATTTCTGTCTTTCACAAAGATGCCCCTTTCAGAAGGGAAATGGGCAACCTGGGGATAAAGGGGCACTGAAGAGTTAGGAGAAAGGGAAATATCACAGAGCAACCAGTTAAGGGAAGGATAACTACTTTCCCAACACTGAACTTCTATTCTAAATAGAATAGAAGTTGTTGTTAACTGTTTTCTAGATTATTTCGAGTTTAAATGAAAATTAAAACAGATACAACTTCTTCAGCCAAAAAAAAGAGATATTATTGTAATCCAAGCAACAGGTGCACAAGAGCATTAAAATCAGATGGCAGTCATTTTCTTGCTAACCTATAAGCAGACCATCAGTGATACTTACACAGATCTGCTTTGTGGACATTTCTCATGCTTATAATTGTTACAGTAAGCCAGCACAACTGAGGTACTTCCAGCTGCAGAACAATGAAAAAAAGCCTTAATTATTAGCAATATTAGCAAATAACTCAGATATAAATAACATAACCTATTCCACAGCATCACAAAGGACAATCTCTCACTAATGTAGTGAATATGCTTTTATTTTAACTATTTGAGACATTTTCTGAGAAGAAATACTTCCTTTTTATTTGACATTATATCATGTCAGATTCCAGTTATGTTTAAGATTCAGTTGTCTAAAGATTTAGGTTTTGGAGGTTAAGTTTTCATGCAAGGAGTAGGAAGAAATATCACAAGATAGTTTTCACCTAAAAAGTCATTCAATAATTGCCCATTTAAAGCCCAGCTACTTTTAAACTACAGGGTTCGCTGCTTAAATTTCAGGCTGAGTGCAATAGATTACAGCAAAGCACTGCCCAGTGTGCCAGCCTGGGGACGACGAGATGCCCTCATTCCTCCAGCAGGGACTGCTGTCCATCTGTCACGTAACACTTCCGCAGAACAGGACAAGACACCCTCCATATTAGAATGTCCTGGTCAAGATATCACTGCTACTGGCCAATCTGGCTAGGGGTATGTAACACCATAACGTTCTTCACTATACCAAAATACCTGACCCTTAAAAGGAAATAGAGGACTAAAAGAGTGCAAGAATAGTTCTAGAAGTGAACAGTCCAGTACAGGATTCCAAAACTCTTCAGTTATACCAGCACAAAGCAGGCCGAAATCAGAGATTTCTTCCAGTTCACATATAGGACAGCTCCCTATAAGGCAGCTCTCGCATTTCAGTGCAAATTTGAAACTACATAAGACTGAAGAAGCTGTATTGTTTTCTCTTTTTTGGCACTGTGTGACACTGAGTAAAGATAACCTGTCATTCATAGCTAGGGTCTTCATTATTCAAAATGAAACCACATTAACACAGCATGGAGAACTGATATATGTATATAAACCAGGGTTTGTTAGAAAACTAGAACTCAAGAAAGCAGGAATCACTAAAGCTTCAGTAGAATTTTTGGCAGCAGTGTTTCTGGAGACAGAGAATGAAAGGAGTATACGATCTGAATTGCTGAAAGGTCAACTTTACATCCCAAATACAGAGGATTAATGTTTCATTCTCAGCTATAGTACCACCCATGTCCAGGAGTTTGGAGAAAACTCATTCATGAGATGGCTTAAGTACTAAGAAAATATGCAGACATAAACCTAATTATTATTCTATAGTGCTAGCAGTTAGTGAATTCACTGTTCTCCCAGATCTATTAAAGATTTAGCCTCATACTTTTGCACCTGGGGAGCAGATTCAGGAAACTCAGGAGGGAAAAAATACATCATACAATTTTTATTTTTTAAGTTATTTAACATCTTTTCATCCAGACATTACTCAGAAAACAGAACAATTTCTAACTTATCCAGTATGTACCATATTCAGCACCTTCCAACACCTTTTACCAGTTCATCTTCATAAAAATTAGTGTTTAGAAAAGTGGTAGACACCGGAATAATCCATTTTATCTACTGATATCCCTCCATAAAGTAAAGGAAAAGCAATTTAAAGACTAAGCCTTGGGTGTTACAAGGTATGATTACCATCATGTAATGATGCCACAATAAACCAAGACTAAAATCCAGCTCTCCCAGTTCCTTGCCCAGCATTTAAACCACAAGTTCATTGCCTTCCCAATCCATAAGTCATGGTAAATATTCTGCACTCTAGAGAGCATACTCACAGAAGAAACAAATATTCCCTTAACCGTTAAAAAAATATCACCTCTCACAACAACAACAGTTAAACTCAGGGAGAGACAGGAACGGCTCATGGAAGATTGCAGGTAGCACAGCCATCCTTTATACCCTGCAGCTTTGTCCATGCAACCGTACAGTACCTCATCTTCAGTGCTATATGGCCTTTCATGATTCCTCCTCCTGATTCCAACCTTCCTGTGTGGGTTTGCTCGGATGAATCGATCCTGGGGACAAAGAGCCAAGAGAGGGACCGGTAATAAAACCCAGCAGTCATTTTCAGTTTCTACTCAGATACACCATGGCAGCATCAGGGGGCCCTACCATTTCTACTCTTCATGATAGGATACATCTCCATCTCACCAAGACCATCTATCTGCTGCTTTTACTAATAAATTTGCCCACTGTAGATGCATTTTACATTTAAGGATCAAAATTCCCCAAGCACTTGCTTTTCATGAATCTCAACCAAGACACTCGAACAGATCCTCCTGCCCCACTGCTGATTTTCTCTTACCAAAGGGGAATAGGCCGATGATCCCATTTTCTCTGCTTTATAGAAGGCAACACTAATGCTCCAGTCTGTATGCCTCCCAACGCATAGATGCTCCTGGACCACAGTATTTTCCAACCAACTGTGGCTGGGAAGAAGAGCTGTATAGACTGAGTCACAGCTCCACCTCCCACTGATTTCAAAAGCAGAAATGATGCACTTGTTCTGTGCCACAAAAAGACTTGCCTTTTTTTTTTTTTTTTAACAATACGTTAATTTGGGGAAAAGAAGGAGATCGTTCAAACATTCTATCATAGCCTAATCCCAAAATAGTTATCCACTACTATAAGGTTTGAATAACCACACACAGAGGGATATCCTGGGGTAGTTGCAACTCTCACAAACTAGAAAGGACCTAATAGAACATTGCAATTATTGATATCTACTGTTACTTTCTATAGTCCTAAAATCTATACCTGTGCTTTAACACCATGGAGCAATGTGGACATTCAAACAGCAGCACTCCAGCTCCCACCAACTTTTCCAGTCAGATGCACAACTGTAAGAGTTTTCACCAAGTTCATCACAAATTTCAACCACAACGTGGAGGCTGGCTCTCAGTCAGTGGCAAAAAGCTAAAGAAAACAGCTTGTTGCTTTCTTCTCTCATTTCTGTTACATATGGGATGTTAAGGGCTCAGCAGAGCCAGAAGGATCTTTTGTTATTGAAATGTTTTTAGTAACAGTGCTGCCTTCAATTACATTATGTTAGAAACTCATGTAAGCTTTAACAAAAATAACAACATACAATTTTTTTCTGAAATATTTAAACATCCTTGTTAAAATTGTCAAGTCTGATTTCTTTTTAATTATAGAATAATTTCCCACTCTTTTTCTGTAAGAGCACTCACTACATAAAAACAAAAGTACCTAGAACTATTACTAAAATATGAAAATAGGAAGCCAGTTATTGCATTAAATATTATTAAAATCACTAAAAGCAGTGGTTATTCAGTAGTGAGAAATTGCAGTTGAAATAAGTATTTTTTAGAACTCATTTCTTATTTTTTAGAATTCTCAAGTCGCTAAGTCAGACTGAAAACCCTTTTTAGAAGCAGCAAGACATCATAAAAAAAATAAAAACCTGATTTTTCAACCATTTCTAATGAAAGTGGAACAGTTATGGAACAGTCTTATTACAATACAGACCTATTTCCCTTTGATTATATCAATAATGTTTTTGAAGTAACACTCTCTAATTTGAAACAAGCAATTCAGCTCACAGGGTTACAAGACACTGAGAACGACGACCATCACATCACCTAACTCAGGTTCTGTAGTCTTTTCGTATTTGATACCAATGGATTCTCTTCAGCTCTTGCGAACAAAAGTTAGCCATCCAGCTAGATAATATGGCATGTTCCCTGCTCAACTTGCACTCTTTCCACAATATCCACATTTGGGCCTTTTCTGGATTCCATAAATTAAATTAAGCAATATTAACTGCTAAAGCCACTATATCACTACACTACACATACTTATTCTGCACATAATGAGAAAAAAGAAATCCGGCTAAACAGTTCTCCCATCCAAGAGCAGACGTAGCCCAGCCATAGCAGGAAATTACATGATAATAAGATCTTGTGTATCACAAACCATGGTGCAGGTGAGTCAGTCAGGAAGCCACGGGCCAGGAGACAATATAGTATTTCACCAATACCATTATAACAACAGAAGTCCTCAGCAGTACTAGCTATATGGTGATATGAGGTCTGGAGACATACAAACACTTGAACTGGGCCACAAAACTTGCAGCAGGGAGCCTGGGGTGGCAGAGGAGCAGAGCGCTTGCAGCAGAACCAGCATAGGCTCTGCAGCCTCTTGAGAGGCAGCTGTGAGAGCTGGAGGTGCCCACTGACCGCAGAGATCCCAGATCAGTTTTGACACAGGTGCAGAATCACTTTCCTCTCACAGTAATTTGACAGCTAGTCGATGATTTCTCCAAACTCTCACAGGGTTTCTACAGCTATTTGACAGCTCATATTTAACATCAAATATAAGGCAAAGGGGGAAAAGTCTTCAGAGTCTGGCTCACAAGCCTCGCAAAACTTCTGAGAAAAAGGTGCTGTGACAGAGACCTCTTGATCTGAGCACCAATGCAGTCACAGGGTCCAGCTTAATTTCTAAAAATACTAGTGGATTTTGTTTTTCATAACCGCATAAACAAAAGCTATTGGGCACCATCTCTAAATATCAGGCTTCATTTACATGACCCAAATAAGCCATCCCAAAACTGAATAACTCATAATCCTTTTTGACTTAGATTCTGACAAAATCTGAAGTGACAGTGATTGAAATACATAAGAAATTCAGTCTTCATACAATTTTCAGTGTAAGGCAGTTGGGTAAAATGAAGAACAAGAGACATTAAGCTGCATTTCCTGCTTCGATAATACAGAAAATTCCACCTGAAACATCTTTCTTGTAGGACAACAACAAATAAACTCTTTGACTTAATATTGTCTGCTGCACATAAGCTGCACAACTGTACTCAAACCCTGTTAAAGTTCTGTTCTAATATACGATTCAGTATGGCCAGAAAAAAAATATTCAGATTCCCACTGCAAATTTAGGCCTTATTTACAAAGCAGTTGCATCAATTTTTTCAGGTTATTTCATAAGTATGTCAATGCAATCTGAGGTGAGTTGACACAAATGACAATGACAGCAAATGTACAAGCTGCTTTGTGTTACTGCTGAGGAGACAGCTCCCAAGGACTGAATTACTCAAGAGCACTTTCCTCTCAAACAGCACTACCGGGGTGACCCCAGTCACTGCTGAGGGAATGTCCAGTCACTGCGCCCAGAATCCACCTTCATCTTCAGCTCAGATCAGAAGATATCACCTCTTTATCACTGACTCATAGGAGACAGGGTGGTCCCACATTGGAGGCTCTAAAGTTAGATCTACACCACCAGTCAAGCACATGACTGTGGGCACGGGTTAACAGCCTCCAGGCAATGGAATTTCTCATGCCTCTAAAGCAAAAGAAGAAAAGACCTCAAGAGGTCTTCAGTGCTTGTTCTTTATCAGCACTCACCGTTGCTACTTTTTTTAATTACAGCTGTGGGCTTTTGCTACAAACATATGGGAAGACAGAGGTAAGTATTAAGTATGAGTTTGTAATTGCATCTGGGTCATCATCCCTAGTTAATGAAAAGAAACAGGTCAAAACGTTCTCTGGTAGCACATAAGGAGTGAACTGGTCTTTGGAAGTGCCCAGCTCTCTCCAGTGACTATGATTATCATCCTGCACCACTCTGACACTTTAGATATTTACCTACAACTAGAAGCTTGCTTCCTTCCCTTTATTTTTATTTTTTTTTGGAAAGCACTTGTACACAGTGCAGCAAAGGAAGGCAGCTAGTAGGTCTACAGAGTATTTAAAAATGCCTATTAACAATGTCCATGACGTCCTAACTGTTTGTACACTTTATCTGGACTCTTCTTTATGTGTGGCTGGCAGTATGCCCAGGCAGCCAAGAAGGCCAGTGGCATCCTGGTTTGCATCAGACATAATATGGCCAGCAGGATCAGGGAAGTGATCATCCCCTTATACTCAGCACTGGTGAGACTTCACCTTGAACATTGGGCCCCTCACTACAAGAAAGACATTGAGGTGCTGTAGCGTGTCCAGAGAAAGGAACCTTGTGAAGAGTCTGGAGCACAAGTCTCATGAGGGTAGCTGAGGGACCTGAGGTTGTTTAGCCTGGAGAAAATAAGATTGGGGGGAGGGGGATGACGAGGACACAATACGCCTTGTCACTCTGTACAACTACCTGAAAGGAAGCTCTATCAAGGTCGGGGGTCAGTCTTTTGTCCCAAGTAACAAAAAAGATAAGATGAAATGGCCTCAAGTTGCTTCAGGGCAGGTTTAGATTGGATATTAGGGAAAAATTTCCACTGAAAGAGTTGTCAAGCACTGGAACAGGCTGCCAGGGAAGTGGTTGAGTCACCATCCCTGGAGATATTTGAAAGACATGTAGACATGGTGCTTAGGGACATGGTTTAGTGGTGAACTTGAAAGGGTTATGCTAATGGTTGGACTATGTGATCTTAAAGGTCTTTTCCAGAGTAAATGATTCTATGATTCTACAGGGTCTTTAGCCAGCTGACCTTGAAAGCAAGATTCTGGATCTAGTGGCAGTACTCAAGCAGGTCTGATACTTGAACTCCAGTATGATTGGTCATTGTCTCCAGCAGAGGGAATGCAATGCTCCTACGCTCCTCTCCGAGAAGGAGTTTAGAAAGCAAGGGGGCCCTTTCTGCACCTCGTGACTCAATGGGAGGGCTTCTCCAATAAACTTTGTCTAAAGCCCCACTCTCACCCACAACAAAACTCCCACAAGCAGAGTGATGCCCAGCCAGTCTCAGAGCAACAACTACCTAGGAATGTTGCACCCTCAAGCAAAGACAGACCTCAAGACCAGAGAACATCTTGACACATCTGAAGAGTCACGTTATCCACTTGACTTGAGAACAGATGGTTCCCAACATTGAAGAATTTTCCAGGTGATAACAGTTAGAGAATGCAGATAAGATCTATGAAAGATATCTAATGAAAAGAAAACTGCTGTGAAATAATAAACATCAATAATGTTTTGGCTTGCTAAAACCTACCTTAGATATCCAATGAAAAATAGAGAAAAATATAGTTTTAGAATGGAGAAGGTTTTTATCCACATCTGCAGTGAAATGATGTATCATATTCCCCACACCCTTCTGCTTTAGGTCAGAATGAAGAAAATACATCACTCAGGAAGATTCAAGTCTTACAGTACTGATTTCAGTTATTGGTACATTTCTTTCATTCAAAGGCCACGCAAAAAGCCTGCAGTATCTGATCTGTTATTCTGGATATTGTACTTATAAGAAGCAGTTTGTCAAAATTATCCTTACAATGCATCATATTCATCTCCTTAGACAAAGAGCAGCTGCCAGGGAGAGGTACCACTCCTTATGCCCACACCTGCACAACTGTGCTTTGCTCCTACAAAAGGGAGAAGAAAACATTCCTACTAGAAAAGTTTCAGACT